CGGACAGGACCCTGCGTACTCTAAACTGCAGTTACTGATTCTGCAAAACTTCCTGATCCATTAAAGAACTGGATCATCAACTCCATAGCGTTTGAGCCTATGAAGCAGAATGCGGTAATCCAGTCCTTCGAACACTTCGGAGAAGTCGAGGTCGATTACGCCTGTCCCTCTACCTGCATCGGCCGCTTCCCTCCAACTACTGCGTGCAATCAGTAGGTTGGTTGTGCATGAATGGTTTTGACGGAAATCTTGCTGCACGCTTGCTAGAAGGTTGTGGCGTTCTAGATGGTCTACTAAAGCCACAGCGATGACTGACTCTATCACCTATGAGAGTACAGGGAGGAGGATTGCTGAGCGATAGTTGGCGGGTTCAGCCATTACCGCTTGTGAGGATCGGAGTGATTATGTCATGTTCGCATGCTAGGCACAGTTTGCTCATCTAAACGTGGTTGGAAACAATGCCTCAATGACCCGGTCAGCGTTGTTGTTGCTGCTTTCACCGCCCTCGGGTGCATATCATCGATTCCGAGAGAACTGGAGGCGCGTAGTGAGAGCAGCTTCTTCAACAGAGATACGGCATTGAAAGCGAAAGTGCTGAAATTGAGAGTTGGGGTTTGGGTACGTAAATGGCGGACGCATCATTGGAAGGATGGAGTATAATTCATCCGTAGGACTTTGGCTGCATCCATGGCACTCTCTTCCACTCCGACTATCTTGTTAAGTGGGGGATGCCGCGCTTCACTTTCTGAATGGTTTTAACATGCTTATATAGGAGTATTTTGTCATTGGCAAATGTACAAGTTAAATGTTGTTGGTGGGCTACTTTGTCCTCACCAATAAGCATACTAGGATGGTTGCGCTGCGACAACTACTCCGGGTTCCGGGACCAAGAGGAGCTCCGTTGGTGTTTCAAGCTGCTCTCCTTAGTGACATACGTTTGCGGGTTCTACTTCTGATGAGAGACGAGAGACTGATGCAGCGATCGGTCTTCGTTTCTGATGCAGTTGCGACTAGGTTGGCGAAGTGACCAAAAGCTGGCTCCAACAACATCATTATCATCATTGTACACGTTAGCTGCAGGTGGAAAACACCTCAGCTAATGTGCCGCAATAAAAAAGAAGACAAAACAACAGATGCATGCCGGCTGAGTCCCAAGTAACGGATGGACATCGTTCCGGAGAGTTAACAGCCTGCTATAGCGCCGCAAAGAGAGTTATAATATGCCTAACGAATAAGATCGTGATTGGAAGAGGAGGCTAAGCAGGAGGGAAATGGACAAAGGAACTCACAACACAAACGTCATTGGGGCCGGCTCCTAGCCATATCAGTAAGTGTGTTCAACCAAACTGTTCCTCATCCTTCGGACCCCAGCGAGGCAGTCGGGATAAACCAACCGGCGCCAACGTCGAAGTGAGGGTTATCATCTCTCTCGACTAAACCATCACTTGGCCTCCCCTCCTCCTCGTCCAACCACATCCCCGGAGTGCAAACAATAAACGTAGTGGGAGTCGGTGTGCTGGCATGCGCAACACGTCTCCAGGCCATCGGAGTCTGGTGCTTGATATAATGGTGCTGAGCGGTTCACTTGCTCTTCCTGACCAAATACGCGACGCCGAACACGCTCATTGTTCACGCGGTGCTCCCACCAGACATGAGCTAAGCTGAGAAGGCAGCGATGCTCGAATATTACGAGACTCTTTATGTGTGTCGACCTGATTGGTCAGGTTTCAAAACCGTATAATAGGGTTGAACGGACGGCTGCGTTATAAACGCTGCCCTTCAGGACGAGAGTGGTGTCTAGTCTGCGCCACAGGTGGCGAAGTTTGGTAAAAGCATCTCGAGCTCTTGTTTTGCCGTTCGTAATCTCAGATTCCATCCTACGGACGCTAATATAGTCGCCCATGTACTTTAATTCCTGAACGACTTCTAGACGATCCCCACCAACGGTTAGAGCAGAGGTGGGTCCCTGCCAATCTTGGAGAGGAACTTTGCAATTCGCTGGAACAAAGCATAACCCAAAACGATAGACAGCCATTGCTAATCGACCAGTGCTGCTTAGCATGCTTGGGCGCTGTCACATATGAGGGCAATGTCGTCCACATACACCAAGTCAAGAAGTCGCTCACCAGGAAGTAACTTCACACCTTCTAAATCGTGTCCAGCGAATGCTGTTTCCATGACTTCGTCAACTGTGAAGTTAAGGCGGAAAAATGACAGCCGGCAACACTGTCTCACACCGCTGGTGATATTGCAGGGTGGAGACAGTTTGCCATAAACCCTCATTCTGTTCGAACTATGCGCGTACAGCGCTTTGATAATGTTTACATATTTATCGGGCACACCTTTTCTCAGTATACAGTCCCAAAGGACACATCAATCAACTGAATCGATGGCACAATTGATGTCAAGAAACAAGACAACTGTGGGTCACCAATAAACATGACGGTTCTTCAACAGTTGACGCATAGTGAAGGTGTGCTCGATTCAGCCCCGACCTCGACGAAATCCGGCTTGCTCTTTGCTGATCTGACCTTCACGAGCGCCAGTCTGTGGAGAACGCAGAGACAAGCAATCTAGATACAATTGAGATCAGCCTGAACCCTCTAGGATTGCTGCATTCCGAAAGGGGCATCCCTTGAATATTAGGACTATGACGGAGCGGCTCCAGTCTGTCGGGACAGTTTCCTGCTCCCAAATTTCCATTAGCAACTCGCGTAAAGCATCCACAAGAGTATTTTCCCTGAATTCGTAGAGAGTTTGTAGAATTCTATCTGAACCAGGGGCGTATTGATTGAAACAGTCTGATCTCAAGTTCGACTTCTGCGCGTGAAGGTGGATCTAAGGAGATGGCCCATGGAGAAGGGCACTCAATACCTGAAAGAGAAAGCGATTACTCAGATTGGTTAAACAGCCTAGGAAAGTATTCGGCCACAAGCTGGATCCAGTCGCTATTAGGTGAGCCAGTCGTTCATTGCAACCAGGTCAGTCAGGATGTTATACCGTGGGCTAATACATGTTGGTTCTCTGTTCTTCCGGATATTCAGGTAACACACATAGTTATAAAGTGCAACCACGTTTCACTTATGAAAATGAGTTTTCAGGCCTATGATACTTGACGCAGCCGTGGTTCAGCAAGCTGGTTCAAGAGGGCTTGTGCGTTGGTGCACATACAGGGTGGTGTACCTCAAGGTATGATACTGGGACCCACTCTGTTTCTCATCCACATCAACGAGCTGCCCCAGCTTCTACGGTCGCCGTGTGCACTGTTTGCGGATGACCTCAAAATTTGGCGAGAAATTAATACTCTCGATGATTGTGACATTCTCTAACAAGATCTCGACCGCCTCACAGTATGGTCTGCTGAAGTCA